CGAGCGATGCGAGCAGGACGGTGAAGGGGAAAGACCGAATGACGTCCTGAGCAAGCAGAGGGTATAAAAAGGTCCCAGAGCTATGCGATAAGGGTTGCCGCGGTGCCGCGGTGCGGAGCGCGGTGCGGAGCGCGGTGCGGTGCGCGGCGCGGTGCGCGGTGCCAGGCGCGGCGCGAAGGCAACTAAGGCTCATCGTGGTTCGAGTTGAGTGAGCGCGGCGCGGAGGCGCGGAGGCGCGGTGGTCACGAGATAGGCGCGGCACCGCGCGGCAATATTCGAACGCGGTGCGGAAGCGCGGTACCGCGCGTTACACCAGTTTTTGAACTTTTTGGATGCTGCAGCGCCTTTCGTTTTCAAGACCGGCGAGGGCGTATTACCACATTTAGAATGTATTATTTCTACTAATTACCCCGCCAAGGCGCGACGAGTGCTAAATATTAAATGATGGTCCTCTACTACTACTACTACCACCACTCTCGCTTGATAGAACTATGAATAAGTAAAGAAGGTTTTATTGTCTGGTGAAGGTCTCGGCAAAGGCCGATCCGCGTGCGTTCTGTCCCGCGGTGGAAAAAATCCGCGGCGTGCGCGCGTTCTGCGTGATCGCCTGACCGCCTGAAAATGATCACGTGCCTGGATGTGACGGATTCAAGTCCCGCGGCCACAAGCTGTGTCTCTTTCGAGCCCCAGTACGTAATACATGGCTACTACCTCGGCTACTATTCTCGCTACAGTAGGTACCAAGGACGCGTCTGTTGCTCCCTCGAAAGGACCTGAACCCGTACTTAATGAACCTTAAGTGCACTCACCGCTCTCTAACGCTAGACTAGGAGACAATGATTCACAAGCCATGGACTCGAGGACGAAAACACGGTCCAAGAAGACGTCGATGCTGTTGAGGACATACTGATGATGCCTGTTTCTGCCAGAACTGCGGACTCGAACACGATGACCATGAAGTGAGTGACCGACCGTCTATGTCAGGGTGTATCCCAAGTCCTGAGACATATGCAGGGTGAGATCCTGCTCAACCAGATACACATGTGGTCACGATGAACTACTACAACATTTTGCACGGCGACCAGCTGACTGTGCCCCGTGGTACTACTCCGCTGGACGCGTTCGACGATGTCGTTGATATACCCCCCGACGTATACAGCTGCAGGACGCGAGGACATGTTCCAAGAATTGCGCTCCCGAGGAGCAACTCGCGAGATGTGTATTCGGTATCAATTGCGCTTCTATCCTCACCACGGAATCATTGCATGGGCTGAGAGTGCACGCATCCATACCGACGTCGATGCATATCCGTATTATATTTTGAATACATTCCCCGCGAACTTCTATACTACATAGGGTACAATGTGCCAATCAAGACGCGCTCATCTGATGCTCAACCCCCAACGACGTGTACGCATGAAGTCGGCTTCGTACGGGTCTCCTTCCGATGACTATATCGCGTTTTTGCTCTTGTCCCTCGTTCTGGTCAGCATACGTAGCCAAACTTGTCTGTTGTTTCTGATGGTAGGGGTAAGCTCTTGAATCAGGTACAAGCGGAAGACTGGCCTTACAGAGGGTTTCCGTACGGAAAAATCAATGAGCGGCGCTGCTTCCAGCGCGAGAGAGCCAACCCCAACGCGACGCGGCGCAGACGCGCCACAGACGCGCACACGTGCCTCATCACGTAAAGGCGCGTCGCGATGCCACCTCGCGGTCGAGCGACTTATGTGGCGAGTCTTGCCACTCGCCACCATGGCTAGGAACTCGTCCGCTCCGGCACTTCCACCTGATGGGGTCTCTCTGCTACCTGATGATGAGGGCGTGACACAGAGGCTCGAGCACAGTATACGGGGACTCTCCAAGCTTGCCCTAGAAGGCAAGACATCGGATGTCCGCGTTCAGCAGGTGCGTGAATCGGCTACAGGAACAAAGGCGCGATTTCAGCATCAGTATCTGACATATCTTCAGGATGACGCGGAGAAGAGTACTTCCGGAGCTTCCTCAATATCTGCGGCTGGTTCAAATCGGGTTCAGGCTTGTACGTTGTGAACCATCTATGAACAACACGGGGGTGCTAATGCCTCTTGGTGATCCAGGGCTTCAAGATGCTTTAGACGAATCATCCCTCTCAGTCTCTTCGGTTGAAGAAGACAGCGCAGAAGAAGTTGCACCTACGGACGACGGCGAAGACTCGCTGCCAGATCCTTTGGTCACTGATGATGCTTTGCGCTGTGTGGAGTGCGCTTGGGAAATTGTCGATGGCATATGCCAAGGCTGCGGATTGAAGCACAAGGCATATGATGTGGTTCGTTCTTCACCAATACCTGGCTTACACCTCTCACTCACTTGTCCGCATTTGCTTCAGGACGACGACCCTGTATTCCCGGATACATACGTGATGCCTTTACACGTGCAGACCCTTGCCCGTGGGGATACGCCGACGTTAGATGTGGATTTGGATAATCTCGTTGTGCCTCCCGAGTACGTGCAACGCGAGAAGATGTACCAGACCCTGCTGTCTCGCGGGGCAACTCGGGAAATGTGTATACAGTATAAGCTGAGATTCTACGACGAACTGGGAATTATCGCATGGGCGAACGACGACCTCTTCGATGAATTCACCGGCGACCTTATGAAAGAAGGCGATCTTTGGCAGATATGCCTAGGAAGGTTCGTCATCCATACCATCTCACGACGGAGCGATTGACTGACGTCTTGTGTATCCCACAGGCACATTAAATTGGACTGGAATGACCCCACCGGCGAGCTATTCATCTTCGCACTACTCGAGGAGGTCATATTCTGGCCGACTGAGGGACTTGGCGAATGGGAGACCGTACTGACTCGCCAAAGTCGCAAGAGGAGGCGCGTCTGGGTCACACGACCCGTCGTGAGCGCTCAGGACGTGCTATCTGATAGCGAGAGTGCTCCCGATAGCGACGAAGGCAGTGACGTTACGGTAGATGTGGGGATGGGGGCGGTCTCGATCCCCGAATACGACCTTCTCGCAGGCCCTAATGTGCCGCTGGCTGCACTATTCCTCGACGAGTACGCTTCCGATTCGGAAGATGATGACTTGGAAGATGATGACTCGGAAGATGACTCGGATGACGAAGTGCTTAGCTCCTCCGATCTCGAAACGGACGATGCTCTCACTATGGTGCAACGCGACACTGCTTGGAACGTGGATGCGGACCATGAAAGCTCCGACGACTCCGACATAGACTTACTGCTAGACGAGTACTATAACTAGTTATGGAGTAATATAACAATGTGGGAGAGAATCCAACTCTTGGTTAACGAAGAGGTCTTCTCGTATAATCCTCTGCGTGTTGATTCCTCGCTGTTACCGTGTGACAGCACGCGTCGTCACGGCCGCGCCGTTTGAGTCTCAGAGTTGGTTCAAACCAGGTTCCAACACTCTTGAGCTCGTCCTTCCTTCCAACCCGGTCTTTGCTGCTTGGTATGCCGCCTCTGGCTCTCGTAAGTCTTGGAGCGCGCTGACTGCTCTTTTGCGGCAGGGTTGACCTATTACGTAGCCAGCGGCGCACGTAGACGGCTCTCAAAACCGCTCAGCCGCGTCTCCCGAGATCGAGGTCATGGACGAAGATGACGACGCGGTTGAAGGCATCTTATTTCCCGACCCGATACTCACTGAAGGGATAGCTCGATGTACTGAGTGTGTATGGGAGGTGGTCGACGGGTTCTGTCAGGGTTGCGGTTTAGAGCACAACGAGTATGAGGTGAGTCGCAGCTATCTCTTTCTGGCCATGTCAGTATAATGACGGGGTCGAAATGGAAGGAGGATCCGATAGAACACAACGTGATAGAGCCATCTACCTCGACTGAGGATGACATGCTCCATCCTGATCGACAACTCGTCCCACGCGGAGACACGCCCCTGCGTGACATCGACCCTGCCGCCGTTGAGCACGTACCCGCGGATTACAACATGCGAAAGGAAATGTACCATGCCTTACTCTCCCGTGGTGCTACGCGCGAGATGTGCGTGCGGTATGGTCTGCGCTTTCATGATGAGAGCGGCATCGTCGCCTATGCCGATGAGGATCTCTTCGATGATTTCACGGGAGACCTCGTCCAACCTGGAGACCGCTGGCAGATATGTCTTGGTCGGTAAGTGGCGTGTCAATGCAAGTGACTACGCGAAGTGTAGAGGCTGATTTGATCTATAGGCGCATTCACTTGGAAGACAGCGACAAGGACGGCTCCGTGTTCATGACGGAACTTGTTGAACAGGTTACCTTGTTTCAGCATGCTTCATTTTATGGACATGGCAGTTGGGAAACGATTCTCACTCAGCAAGGAGCACGCCGACGCCGACGCGTCTGGGTTACGCGACCAGTCGTCGGCGCATACGATCCGTACGGGGAATCTAGCGGCACGGATAGTGACGAATACGACTACACCAACGACGAGATCTCGGAGGATGGCCTCGATATTGACCCTCGAGACCCCCCTGCAAGAACCTTTGCTGACGACTACGAGAGCGAGTCGGAGCCGGAGGACGAAGGCATGGATGTGGACCCGTCTTGGTCGGACGACGGGGAGATCTACGAGCGCAATGATCCGGAGATAGTCTTGCCCGATAGCGCGTGGGACCCCTCGGATCCCGGTGGTGCAGAAGAGGATGATATGGAGATGCCTGACTCCGACGAGCCGGGCAGCGATTGGGACTCCGACGAGATCATGAGTGGCGATGAGATTGTACCTTACGTCGCTCGCTTGAAGTATGAACGTGAAGAGCTTGCGTTGGACGGCTCCGAGGAGGAGGAGGAAGAGGAGGAGGAGGAGGACGATGAGGACGATGAAGATGAAGATGAAGATGAAGATGAAGATGAAGACGGTGACCATGGCGAAGGCCAGGGCGCCGAAACTGGTGATACGCAGTCCCATGGCGGAAATGATAGAGGGGGGGACGGGGATGAGGATGAGGATGAGGATGGAACACGCAGAGTTGTCCCGCAAGATAACGAACCTGGCGCTGAAGTGGCAAAGGACCAAGCACCCGTTACGCCTAGTGCTGGACGAGAAGGCCACAACGATGTAGCGGAAGGCAAGGACCTTGAGGAAACAGATATTCGTTCATCTCAAGCAAGTAACGGGGATCCCAACGCTGGAGGCGACGGGGCTGTTGCACCTCGGAACGATGGCATCGACAAGCTTCTGGATATCATGCGGCAGCGCTCTACTACCACGAATGATATCGACGCTCCTCAAGCAGCTGCTACGAGTTCCTCAACGCAACGTACGCAGGTCACTACGAACCGGCCGAAGATATATTTTCGGCCGAATCTTGACGTCAACTACTGGAGGAAACTGGTCGGAGAACCTGGCGGACCTCGGTACCAGTTCTCGTACTTGATCGCTCCGAAAGTACCCGCACTTGAAGCCGAGCTCAAATGGCACCGAGACTTAGCCGGTCATCCCCTGCGCACGACCATCTCTACGGGAAACAAGAAAGCGAAACTCAGACGAGTCAAGGAATGCGTGGTGGCATTCTGGGAATACAGGGCAAGGCTCATTCGTGAAGGCCAACTGGAGCGATATTGCTCTGGCACCTATCCTTTATGGCCGGCGTGGATTCTGGACCTTGAACAACCTACGTTATAGACATGGACCAAGATACAATACGAACCTACTCATTTAAATAATCGCACGAGTCGCATCTGGGTTGTGAGACTGATTATGTTAAATAATCCTGTATAGCGTGTATAGTCGTACAACCTCGCACAGGGTACCCTCTAGAAGTACAATCCTGGACGCAATAGCATCTTTACAACGGACAACAACGTTACGCTTGCGGCAGTTCACTCGGGTGCGTGCAGGTGGGGCGGTTTGGATTCATTCGATGATGCTGAGCTCACGCCGGCGAGTGCGCGCGAACTCGTCTTTGTACGTATCCCATATCCTGTACGATACCGCGTGAGGCCCATGGGAAAATACTACAAGGGAAGTGACATACCTCATAAGCTCTTCAATATACTCATGTTGCACGGCAAGGACGTATTCTAATGACGGCTTGTCGGTCTTCTGGACGTGAATCGGGCGGCCTATCACGCTGACTATTCTTCGTCGATACGGCATCAAGCCAAAGTTATCTGTGCGATGCCATCGATGAGACCGTGAACTATACGCAATTAAATGAGAGCGCACGGACAGTTCAGCAAGCCGCGGCCATGAAAGAGGGGTAAAGTGAATCCGAAGACGTTCTTGAATTTCTTTTGGATGGAGTACACGAGCGTTCCCGGCTCGTTGGGCATTTGTTCATAGATCTGTCAGATATGTGAGTATATGATGCGACCAAAGGTACGGTATGAAGCCTGACATCGTTCTCGCCGAAGGAGAAGACAGGTACCAAGTCGGCACTGTGCAGGCGAATCAGCTGAAGCGAGAGAGTATGGAACGTTCCGTATACTTACCCTTGTCGGATCGCGATCTTAATGAACCCCAGCCGTTTTCGCAGCGTCAAGTCCGCTGTGCCCGGATGCGCGCTCAGGCTCTCCGCAGCGCCGCCAACGACGATGGTGATAGCCTCTCCCGGCCCCTTATCAAGGATCTTCTGACATGCACGTTTGCTGACGCTGCATATGCCGAGCGCTAGCAGGACGTCGCGGTATAACGGCATATTGAAGTTGCTGGCGAGCGTGAGGAGATGTGGTCGGATGCCTGGGTAGGCTTCACTGAAGCCGGTGGCTTCTGTGGCGAATGTTGCGATGGCTCCCCTGGGTACTATTCAGCATGCGTGCGTAAGGAGTAGAGGATGATGCAGGGTTATAGACGCACATGCCGATGATCCCTGTGGCCCCGAGCGGTCAAGTTAGCGATAATCACATGCCGAAGGACGGAAAGGTTCGCACCGTGGGGATGGTAGCCAAAGACGTATGGTCGGTCGGCTGGAAGGTCTGCTTCCTGAGCGGTGTATGCATGAATGAGCATGCTCGGGCGTTCTAGCGGTGCGTACGGACCTTCTTGAAGCTGTAGAGGTACTGTCAGATCAAGCTGCGGTTGGGTACACGAGTAGACGTACGAAGCGGGGTAGTACTCGGCGAAGTACTTCCAAAAAGAGATGGATCTGAACCATGGGCTCATACGCCCGCCATGTTCAGGAGCGGAGTCGATGTAGAGCATCCAGATCACATAGCAGAATATCAGGGGCCATAATGGCGGGATGGCACTGGGCTATGTTTGAGGGCCAAGTACCGGCAAGAGCAAGTTCGACCGCGTACCAGAGGAATAGAAACAGGAAGGTCGAGAGTATTATTGATGTTGACCATAATGCGACCACGGTTGTCTGTAATCGTCGGGCGCGAGGAATGTCTCTTGGGACAAACCTGCGTGCCATGAACCGAGAAGATCGATAGGAAAGGCGAGGGCACGTCAAACATGATGCATGGAAGAGTAGTGCACATCCGGAAGAGAGTATACGGTTGGAATGGTTCAGATGCGATGGTGAGCGGGCGGTCCAAGTTCATGAATGTTACGCATGACGCACTCTACGTTCGCCGTGAGGGCGGCTACGGGATTGATGGGGGTAACAGATAGTTTTGATAATCTATCTTTGAGAGACTGAGAAGACAGCGAGCGCGATGCCGATGACAGGCCGAACGACGCGGAGCGCATCGTGTTTGACATGGAAGTGTGGAGAGGAGTTGTGTTCGTTGCATGCGGCAAGTCTGTGGCTTCAACGCGTCTGACGCGCGCGGCGCACTTGACGCGTTTACGACACGCGCCACCTCCTCTCTGCTTCCGCCGCCATCATCTCCCTGGAATATACCATGTCGGTGTCTGTCTGGGTCTCATCGCCGGATACGCGCTCTGAGCGCCGCTTTGATCTGCATCTGACTGTTGGGAATCTTAAGGTTGGCCCTGTGAAGTTATATTTTCTTCGTGATCGCTCTTTCAACACGGCTTGCTTGATCCTAGAGCAAACTTGAACTCATCACGGGTATTCCTATTGGTAACCAACGCCTCGGAATCTACGCCGCGAATGAAGACACAAAACCCATCGTTGCTCTCGAAGATGACTCTAAGCCTTTGGGGTTCTATGGCTTGAAAGACTGGCAATGGATCAAGGTTTGCAGATCGTGTTGAACGCGCTTTCCCCGCGTGTCTGAGGAAAGCGTAGGTTGAAGACACGAACCCCTCGGTCACGTTTACCGGGCAGCTCACGGACTACTCTGGCGTGGACAAGTTCGAGCTGACAGAAGAACAGTACGCTGCGAGACAAGGTAGGTGTACTACATGACGCTCCAAGCTCAAACGCTCATACGGCGCAGACTCGGTCCTAGCCTATAAGCAACGGCATAAAGTGGGACGCTTCGCAGAGAAGGAAGAGCCTGCGCCTATTCCGATTGAGCACATCAAGATCCCCATTGGGGCGCGTTGCCAAGTAGAGTCAACAGAGCCGGGGTTACACAAGCGTGGCACCGTGCGTTTTGTTGGCCAGACCAAGTTTGGCTCGGGCACTGGCGTTTGGGTGGGTGTGGAGTACGACGAGCCGTTCGGAAAGAACGATGGGAGCGTGAACGGGGAAAGGTACTTCGAGTGTAAGATGAAGTACGGCGCGTTTGTGCGGCCGGAGAAGGTGCAGGTTGGGGACTTCCCTGTCGAGGACCTTGATTTCGATGATGAGGAAGAGATATGAGCCACAATCATGTATACTACGATATCCGCATCCATAGCACGTTGTTTCGATCAAAACGAATGAAAGCGAGCGGCGGAAATTGTGGCACCGCCCAGCGTCGAAGACGCGCGAATGTGCTGGGTGATCTTCGCGTGCGACGCGTGGGAGCACCACGACGCGCGAGGGCCGCGCGTCGCTCCCCACCGACAAGGCGCCAGTCGCTCGCGAACGTCGCTTGTTTCGCTACCACCATCACCACCTCTTTCACGAAATAATCATGGATCCGAGCGGAGCAGCTTCGCAGCCACAGGACGACACGTCCACCGCGATCCTTCGCACCAAGAAGTCGTAAGTGGCGCATTATGGGACGCGTCGACCATGAACTGGTTGCTTATGCATCTTGTTATCTTAGGCCCAACCGCCTCATTGTCGACGATGCGACAACTGAAGATAACTCCGGTAAGTAAAAAACGCGTCGAAATGAGCTCAGGAAGTGGCTGATCATGACATGTAGTCGCCACCATGAACCCGCAAACAATGGAGACTCTTGAGCTTTTCCGCGGCGATACCGTCATCGTCAGGTATATAGACACAATCAACTCGTCTAGAATGACTGGATTGAACTGATATGTTTGCAGGGGGAAGAAGCGCAAGGACACGGTCCTTATCTGTGTCAGCTCTGACGACGTCGAGGAGGGCCGTATCCAACTGAACAAGGTTGCGAGGAATAACTTGCGCGTCAAGCTCGGCGATCTTGTTAGCGTACATGCATGCAACGACATCAAATACGGCAAGAGGATACACGTCCTTCCCTTCGATGACTCAGTCGAAGGCCTTTCTGGCAACATCTTTGACGTCTTCCTGAAGCCCTACTTCCTTGAGGGTACGTAGATCGGCCGGTTTGTATTATATCTGTATTGATCAATTACGCAGCATACCGTCCCGTCCGCAAGGGCGACACCTTCCTTGTTCGCGGCGGCATGCGTACCGTCGAGTTCAAGGTCATGGAGACCGACCCGGCAGAGTACTGTATCGTCGCTCAAGATACTGTCATCCACACCGAGGGTGACCCCGTCAAGCGCGAGGACGAGGAGTCCAACCT